CATTGTTGCAGTCAACATGAGGAGCGCATTTTCTGTACGGACTCCTGACGCAGCTCTAAGTGCGGCTGAGATTATTCCTGAGTTATTTCCAAGTTATTTCTGGGTTATTTTCAATAATCCTGAAATAACCCAAAAATAAAGACGGCGGGTTATTTCTGGGTAAATAACATGAAAATAACTCAGGAATAACCTCCGCCACACGTAGAGCTTCATCAGTAGTCCGCACAGAAAAATTAGGCCAACAGAAGCAGCAAGGTGGAAGGAGAAAGATGGGAGTTTCAGAGATCTTTGTACGCCCCGATTCCTCATTGTTGCAGTCAACATGAGGAGCGCATTTTCTGCCCGGACTCCTGACGTAGCTCTACATGCGGCTAAGATTATTCCCGAGTTATTTCCAAGTTATTTCTGATAATCCTCAAATAACCCAAAAATAAAGACGGCGATAGGGGTTTCAGAGGTCTTTGTCCGCCCCGATTCCGCCACTGCGATCAATTGAGGAGCGGCGGGGCGGAAGGATGAGAAAGATGAGAGTTTCAGAGGTCTTTGTACGCCCCGATTCCGGAGAAAGATGGGAGTTTCAGAGATCTTTGTACGCCCCGATTCCGCCACTGCGATCAATCGAGGAGCGGCGGGGCGGAAGGATGAGAAAGATGAGAGTTCCCACGACTGCTTTCCCACTTCCCAGCTTATTGCAACAGAGTGGTAAATTTGATGAGCAGATAAGAATTGGTTGGTATATGTGTAATATTAAAATTTTGTATGAAAATTAATAAGAATTGGATGGATTGTATGTGAATCCCCCAAAAGAAAAAGAAAAATGCTCGCATTGAAGATTTAAAATAGGTACCTAAGTTTTACAAGCACAGTGCTTCGCAGGCCAATGCATGCAGATTTCTGTTTTTAAAATGATCATAAAATTTGCACCATCATAGCAATAATGCAAACAATTCACTGTCTATAAAACAAATATGAAATTTCATACCTGTAAAAACCATTCAAGAGATCAACGAGGCCCCATCCTCATTCTCAGCTTCCTCAACATCCGGCAGATCAGAGCTCAGTGAGAACCTCAACCATCCATTCCTCCCAACATAATTCAGAAAAGGTTGCAAAATGAACCCAACCATCATAGCAAATAGACTCACAACCATAACTTTAAATGAAGCGAAAGCCAGAACCACAATTATCAGAATTGTAGGGGGGATGAGCATCAAAATGCAACCGACAGTCCCCAGCGGAATTCGGTAAGGCCGAGGTGCCTCCGGCCGCTTCATTCTCAGCCTCACGAATGCCACGAACTCCAAAATCATTCCAAAACAGTAGAGAAAATTCTCCGCCGCAACAATCTCCTGGAAGCTCAGCCATGAGAGCAATAACACACCAGAGGCAGAGAAAAGGATTCCGATCACCGGCGTTCCGTACCGGGATCTCCTCCCGAAGAACTCAGGAAGCATCCCTCTCTCTGCCATGCCGAGAAGTTGGTACGAGTCGCTGCTCATTTCCGCAACGAACATTCCCATGTTTGATAGCGCCGAAGCCCCCTGCAGCCACCAACTCAACCAAACGCCGCCAAGTATTTTAGCAATGTCGGAAAAGTAACCGTCAACCCATAGTTCGCGATCAACGGGGATGGCGCCGGTGCCGGTTAGAAGAGGGTAAAGGTACCCGAGGACTACTAATATCAAAGCATACAGTAATGCCTTCGGTAGGGTTTTCTTTGGATTGTGGACTTCTCCTGCTAAAGTGCTGATTGAGTCCCAATAATTCAAGTTCCAGAAGAGGGTGTTCAAGTAAAGGTTCCAATCAACGTTGCTTAAATCCACCATTAACCACCGTGAAACATTCAATCTCGGGATAGCAACGAACCCCATCACGACGAAAGGAAGGATCGAGAAAATTCCTAAAAATACAGCAACCCATCCAACTATAGTGAGGCCTCTGTAGTTCATGTAAGTCAAGCCGACAGTTAGAATCAACACAGCTGCTGTTCTTGTTAGTCCTCCTCCTAGGACTGGAATTCCAGACTTCAGATAGTCTAAAAACAGAACTGGATAGAGAGCATTATCTATCACACCACTTAGCCATTTCATCCAACCTTGCTGGAAGCCCCAGAAGGGACCCAAAGCTGAAGAGACCCAGACTACATAGCCGCCATTTTCGGGGAACATTGTGCCTAGTTCGGCGGTAATGAGAGCTTCTGGAATGCTCCATATTACCGGAAAGAATAGAAAGCCGATAATGGAGAGAAGAGGGCCTGCAGCTTGAACGCTGTCCTCGATTCCGAAAGGGCCGCCGGAGACCTCGTAGAAGATTAAGAAAATGAGAGGGACAATGGAGACTTTGTTAACATTTTTTGATGTTGAGGATTCTTCTTCTTCGCTAATCTTGTCATATTGTTGGCTGCCGCATTCCCCCATGTGCCTAAAAAGACCTCTTCTGCTTGCTGAGCTTATTGATTTCTAATAGGAAGAATACATACCATCAATACCCATTTGAAGCCTGTGTTTTGATGTTAAGAAACATGATATTAGAATAAAAGTCCTGCTTTTTGCGATTTTGAATAGGTAACATAGCATGCTAGACATAAAAAAATGTAATGTATAAGAAGGTGATGAGTAAAAAAAAAACACTTTCTATGGTACATAAAATACAAATGATGTTGAAAAAATATTGAATTTAATGAGTGAAATTATCTCAGTTGCTTGAAGATATAATACATGCTTAGCAAGTGAAGATTTCTTCTTCGCTCATTTAGAGAGTGAAAAAGAAATCTTGACGATTCGTGCAGATTTTTAAAACTACATTGATTTTTAACTACACTTATAAATTTAGTATCTTAGCAGTTATTCTGCAGTTTAAAAGATGAAACCAATATCTTTCAAGTACATAATCTAGAAAATTATTATGGGGATCTGAAGTTAGAACAGTTTCCTGGGTTCTTGCTTGCTTGCCTCTCCAAAAATGTATCATACTTGACCAAATATCTAGCAAAATTTCCAAAATCGAATATATTTTGGATGATCCTTACATAAAATATAAAGCAGAAATGGTTAAATGGAAGATATTGGAAAAATCCATTAGATTGCACAAAAAACAAAGCACACTAGTCCATTCCAAAAAGAAAGATTTACATACATACCACTAAATTCATATGTATTTACATTTGTAATATCTGAAGTTCATGTTTCCCATATATGCCACTTTATCTATGCATAAAAGGTGCATTTAACTTTTAAAAATTAAAATAGTGGTATTTTTTGATCTGAAATGAAAGGCTGAGTGATATAAATGAACAAAAGTAAAAAATAGGTGTTATATATGTAAATACAGAGGAATAGTATGGTATATTGTTGACCTCATTTTTAGTGAGGTCTGGTCTTTCCATAGGATTTAGGATCTAGCCTTAGGGATCACCCTTTGACTATCTTAGAACCTTAGAAATGGGACCCGCCTCGTTTTAGAAATTCAACCCACTTTTGTCCCCTTTTGGAGTTTCGCGTGTGTGGTATCGACTTCTAGCACTTAGAAGGGTGAAACCAACATGAGGAAACCCAAAAGGGATTCCCATAGGACCTTTCTGAGCCTTAAGGTGACCTTCTGCACAATTCGCACTCCCGCGCGCACAAAACTTCGCAATTCAGAGAGTCGACA